CAGGGAATCAGTCTTTGGAACTTTTTGTAGGATATGAATTAACATAAAAAGAAGTTGTACATAATTGTTGTTGTACTTAATTTTTTTTTTTTTTTGAGACAAAGTCTCACTTTGTTGCCCAGGCTAGAGTGAGTGCCATGGCGTCAGCCTAGCTCACAGCAACCTCAAACTCCTGGGCTCAAGCAATCCTGCTGCCTCAGTCTCCCAAGTAGCTGGGACTACAGGCATGTGCCACCATGCTCGGCTAATTTTTTCTATATATATTAGTTGGCCAGTTAATTTCTTTCTATTTATAGTAGAGACAGGGTCTCGCTCTTGCTCAGGCTGGCTTCTAACTCCTGACCTCGAGCAATCCGCCCACCTCTGCCTCCCAGAGTTCTAGGATTACAAGTGTGAGCTACCACGCCCGGCCTTGTTGTACTTAATAATTTTTATCATAATTGTTTACTTGTCTCTTTCTCTGTAAAGGGAGCATAGTTACCCACATCTTTAGCAGGCAGACTTTTCAAGCCAAGGCCGTGGCCTTATATTTTCTTTTGTCTCTGTCTTCTACTCTTGTCTCTGTATTTCTCATCCTCCCCAAAGATCCCAAGGTTTCTTTTTGTCACATTTGTTCCACCTGGAGAATCACCCTCATTGGACTCCTAAACTGAAAATAGATATTACAGTTATCTTAAGTAGTTTTCTGTTTTTCCCCAGTGGATTTCAGTCTCCTTCCTTCCCTGTCCTACCCTGTACCCCTATAGGCTGATAACTCTGAAGTTTATTTGAATCTCTAGGTTAGGGGTCCTCAAACTTTTTAAACAGGGAGTCCGTTCACTGTCCCTCAGACCGTTGGAGAGTGCGCACTATGGGCCCAGGACCAGTCGGCTGCTAAGCAAGACAGGCAGCGGTGGCAAAAGCACCTGGTGGGGATAAATGTCCTAGATGGGTGACATGTGGCCATAGTTTGAAGACGCCTGCTTTAGGGTCTGACTTATAATGAGAAACACTATTAGGAGATCAAAGGGCAGAAGGAAAGGGCAGTCAGGATGTTTGTTTCCCTCTCTCCATCCCTGCCTTGCCTTGCTTTTCACAGTATGTTCATCTGTGGCTACAGCTCCTGTTGGACAGTCCTATTTCCAAGATACAGTCCTCACTGGATTCTGGCAACTGTTGCCTCTTGCCCCTTCGGGCTAGGGGTGATAATGGGTTTGTTTGGTTTTTTTTGTTTTTTGTTTTTTGAGACAGTCTCACTTTGTTGCCCAGGCTAGAGTGAGTGCCGTGGCATCAGCCTAGCTCACAGCAACCTCAAACTCCTGGGCTCAAGCAACCCTGCTGCCTCAGCCTCCCGAGTAGCTGGGACTACAGGCGTGCACCACCATGCCCAGCTAATTTTTTGTATAAATATTAGTTGGCCAATTAATTTATTTCTTTTTATAGTAGAGATGGGGTCTCGCTCTTGCTCAGGTTGGTTTTGAACTCCTGAGCTCAAACGATCTGCCCACCTCGGCCTCCCAGAGAGCTAGGATTACAGGCGTGAGCCACCGAGCCCAGCCAATAATGGAATTTTACTGTTGCTAGTCCTCAGATTCTTTTCATTCCTTGTTGTTTCCTTAACTTTAATCACATCTCTATAAGTAGCCAATTTTGAAAATTGTCTGAAACTTTCAGTGTGCAGTTTGCCTGCTGCCAGGACCCTAACTGACATACTGTCCTCAGAAGCCCATTGAAGACCAATAAATATGACATCTGCCATGTACACCTTTGCAAAAATCTCACCTTTCCTCAGCTCTTGAATTTTCCAGGCTTTGAGTAATTTTCTCTGTTAGTGGCAACAGAGAGTTTACTTTTTGCCCTTTCTTTTATTTTTGGCAATGGAGCCTAGTATCATTTACTTCTATCAAAATTTTCAAACTTTTTTGGTTCATTGTCCTCAGTGTCCCTATAGTTTTTTCACAGTGTGTCCCTGGGCCAAAAGAAATATCCAGCAAGTTCCATTTATTAATAAGTAGTTGACTAATTAGTATTATGTTTTAACAAATCAGCCCTTTTTGAAAAAAGCAGAAATACTGAGAGAAAAGATAATATTTTAATTTCATTCTTACCTAATGACAGTGAACTAATGGTGTTGTCCACCTGATGTACACTATATAACTCCCCAAAGCTTAGAGTCAGATGGACACTGCACCCTCATCTCTTCTTCAACATTAATTTTTCATATGGAGTTGCTTTCTTTTTTATTATTGAAAGGCTAGCTTAGCAAAGGTTTGGTATCATTATAAGGAATGTGGGATGTAATGTTGAAACTACCTTGATCTAGTAGTTCTCATGATGTCCAATAGATGTCGCTGTGTTTCCTTTGAAAAGTGAAATTATTCTCTAGTACCCCAGGGTTCCTCAGCAGTTTGAGTACCTCAGCTTGCTTTCTTTTTCCTTTTAATTTTATTTTTTATTTTTTTCACTTAGCCCAGTAATGAAAGATGGGAACCTCAGCCTTCTTTGTGCTAATTCCTTTATGCTCGACGTAACTGGTTTTTTTTTTTAATTGCCACATATTCTTAAAAATTTGTTGCTTGCCTTCCTCCACTATATATAAGACTTATTCAGTGGTCTTTTACTGTTTGCATTCAGGTCTTAGAGAGACCTCAGATAAGCCACACAAATTTCTTAGAGCTTCCACACAGCTTTCTGATTCTAGATTCAAATTCATTACAAAACAAACTGAAACACAAGTTGGGACAGTCTGTCTGTACTCCCAATCAGTACCTAGCTCAACTCGTATTGTTCAGCTTTTTTGGTAGTAGTTTTACTTTTTATTCCATCTAGAATTTTGTTGCTCCTAGAGTTTGAAATTATCCATGAGCATGACCTTATATTATGAAACTGTCCTGCTTTATCTGGAAAATTGCCAGCAAACCAGCAGTAACACTTGCAGTTTAAATTCTAAACATCAGTGGCATCTCCTTACATAAAAGCCTCAGTCTGTCTGTATGGTACTTTGCTTTTCAGATACTGTATGCTTGGTTTTCTCACCCAACATGCTGAAATGTTAGGGGTTAAAGTACGATTGAGTTTCATAACACAAGTGATGGAGTACTGACATAAAATACCACTAGATCACAGCCTCTGTCCCCCTATGCTGTAACAAGATTGATGTTAACAGGGAATAGTGTAAAGTAACAAACTTTATAAAGTGAAGAGCTTTATACTTAAAACCTCATTGGAGAACTCCAGGATAGCTAGCTTAAGGTCTGTGAGGTGACCACTGTCCTAAATCTCAGATTTGCTACATATGGAATAAAGAAGCAGAGGAAAAAGAAATATGTCAATGTGTTAGTTTTAACCAGAGTGGATAGAATAAATAGCAAATGAGGTGATTGGACCTCCTTTCATCTAGAGTAAGACATAATCTTGCCATTTTAACAGTGTGAACGTGTAAGAACTTTTAACAGCACTAATTGTATCTCCAATATCTGTACACCTTGGACCTGTCTATCTAATCTATAACAAGTCTTTCTGAGACAGTGGAAGAAGACAGGAGAAAGTAGACCTCTCTTCCTCTAGTCTAAAAAAAATGTAGTCTAAATTACCAGTCCCTGGCACATTATTCTTCCAGTTTATTTCCCAAAATAACAATTTCTAAAATACACTTTAAATTTGAATAGAACATCATTGATTTCATACTCTATCCCTTCTGTATGACATTTGCTAGTCATAAAATAATTATATTCTCATACTTCCTTTTTCATGACAAGTATTCTCTTCCATATTAATTATGAGTCAGAGAGAAAAAATGAGATAGGAGGCCTTGGGATTACGTACTCACTGCCATAGATATCTTTTTCTGACTCTTTCTGATTGGCTGTGAGACCTTCTGGAATATTGTGTTTTGACTCATTTTTTTCATGTCACATTTTTGTAAGTGTTTTCTATGTTCTTTTCCATCAACTATATTTATTATTTAAAGCCAAAGGTTTTTTATTCTATGTATTAAGAATTTACCTAATAAGATGGATAAGTTCATAAATTGAAAGTTGTTATATAAAAGAAGTAATTTATTACTTTGTAGAACCTAAAAGGAAAAACATTTATCTCTTTTTATAGATAATCTACAGAATCCTGAAAAACAAAATAATGGAATGGTATTTTGTAATTAAAATGTATATAGATTATAACATGGTAGAAGTCAATTTATAGCTTGACCGTAACTTATAAACTATGTTCTACAGATGCATTTAATAATTGGTTGTTAAAACCTTAAATATGTTTCTGCACATAAACATTACTTTTAATGACTACAATGTATTCCTTCATATTTATATGGTATAATACACTTTGTCACTGGTTTTTGAACATTCAAATTCTTACTAATTTGCTTTTAAAAAAAATTTTTTTTTATATTAAAATAAGTGCATTTCTTCTTGTGTAAAGCTTAGTGTGAATTTCCCGTCTTCCCTACCTATTCAGGCCACTGCACTAATTAGTCTTGTTACCCAGTGGTATTCTTTTGAAAATTTAGCGGCCTAGTATTTTTAAAGTGCTTAGCACTACGTGTGGCACAGTGTAAGTGCGAAATAAATGCGACTTACCTTTCCCTGGCTCAGCAATAGGATGAGGAAATAAGGTTTGTAATGGGGTCTTTTTGCAGTAGCACAGTAAGTGATGGCAAGGAGAGGAAAGAAGTTCAAGAGATTGAAACCGTGAAAGGAGAAGAACTTGCTGTGGTCATTTATCTGTATTGGTTGTTCTCAGTTATGTGTTCTTTAATTACACTTCAGGAACGCCTAAGATGGAGAATCTCTGAATATAAGTTTTGTTCCTTGGAGTTAAAATGTATAAGTTTGTTAAAGTAATATACAATTGAGAAACGTCACAAAACTCTTTAAAATGGTGTGAACTTTGTGTGTGTTATCTTTGTTTATTGTATTTGTATTTCATATTTTTTGTGATATTTTATTCAAGTGTGTGTCCAATGATGTCTTTTCTGTTTTCTTCATTTATTTTTTTAATTATCCTAGTCACGTGAGCTGGAAATTTCAGTTTATTGGCGTGATTGGCGATCTCTGTGTGCTGTAAAATTTCTGAGGTTAGAAGATTTTTTAGACAACCAGCGGCATGGCATGTGTCTCTATTTGGAACCACAGGGTACTTTATTTGCAGAGGTAATGAATGTATTTCATTAAATGTGCATATCTACAATTGAAATTATGTTTGTAGGCAGCATGATGTGGAAATGGAAAGAATGTTAGGCTGAAAGGCAAATTACTTGGGTTCTTGGCTCAATTCTGCCTCTGAATAGGTATGTAACCTTGAGACAAATCATTTATTTTCTAGGTATGTTTGCTCATCTAAAAAATGAGGGGGCTGGGCTAAATTATAACTAAGATTCCCTTAAGCTTTCAAATCTTATAAGTTTAGTGTATTTCATGAACCATAAATCCAGTGCTATTTTCATGTCAACTAGAATTTTCTTCACTGCAGGTTACCTTTTTTAATCCAGTTATTGAAAGAAGACCAAAACTTCAAAGACAAAAGAAAATTTTTTCGAAACAACAAGGTAATTACTCAGAATCAAAAAGTGTTTTAGTGTTTTTTTTTAATTTTGGTTGTTTTATTTCTTTTTTAAAGGTTGTTTTTCTTTTTTTTTTTTTTCTTTTTAGGTGTTCATTCATTTGTTTCTAACTTTTTTATTAAGGAATATTTTAAACATGTCCATAAGTGGAGAGACTAGTGCAGTGTATCACCCAGCTTCAACAATAATCAACTCATGGCCAAATTTATTTTATCCCTATCTCATCCACTCACTACTTTCTCAGATTATTTGAAGCAAACCTATACATCATATTGATTCATCCATAAATATTATAATTTGTATCTCTGAAAAATAAGGACTCTTTTTAAAATCGTAACCACGTTACTAGAGTTAAGAAAATAAAACTAGACTTAAAACAAAACTGTTTTTAGAACTGTTTATGCTATTTTGCACTAGCCTTTAATAGCAAATAGTTAAGAACTAGTTTTTTTAGGTGACAAGTTGTTTGCTCTTTATAAATATAAACTGATGCATATGAATTTTTAAATTATGGCTTTTGGTAATATATAAAGAAATGACTTGTTCTGTTTTCTTTTTTCTCAATGTCCACAGGCAAAACATTTCTCAGAGCTCCTCAAATGAATATTAATATTGCCACTTGGGGAAGGCTAGTGAGAAGAGCTATTCCTACAGTGAATCATTCTGGCACCTTTAGCCCTCAAGCTTCTGTGCCTACTACAGTGCCAGTGGTTGATGTACGCATCCCTCAGCTAGCACCTCCAGCTAGGTATGTGACTAAGATTTTCAAGCATCTCTTATACAAAATAGTTATTGTGACATTCTTGCATATTAATTGCAGCAGGTGTACTTAGAGTCTCATTGTTTTTTCAAGTAGTATTTTGAAATTAGTGTTGTGTTTACTTAAAAAATTTAGTCCAGCCATAGTGGCTCACCCCTATAATCCTGGCACTTTGGGAGGCCGAGGCAAGAGGATAGCTTGAAGCCAAAAGTTTGGTACAAGCCTGGGCAAGTCAGTGAGACCATGTCTCCACTAAAAATTTTTAAAATTAGCTGAGTGTGGTAGTGCATGCCTATAGTCCTAGCTATTCAGGAAGCTGAACTAGGGGAATGACTTGAGCCTGGGCATTGAAGGTTGCAGTGAGCTATGACGATGCCACTGCACTCCAGTCTGGGTGACAGAGCGAGACCCTGTCTCACCGCCGCCCCCCCAAAATAGAAATTGTTTGCTTTAATTTTAAAGCTATTTAAGATGTGTACTTTCGATTACTGTTTTGGTAAATTACTTTATCTTCTACAAGTGATTCTACAGTAACAAAATTGGACTTCGATCTTGAGCCTGAACCTCCTCCAGCCCCACCACGTGCTTCTTCCCTTGGAGAAATAGATGGCTCTTCTGAATTAAGAGTTTTGGATACACCAGGACAGGCAAGCCATTTTAAACCTTGCATGATTCCTCTCACCAAATGAATTAGCCGTAAAAAGCATCCTAGTGAATAAAGTATACTTTTCAATTAAAAGTTGCCTCTGTGAACTATGTGTTTATGGTTCTTATGTATAGACTATTCTCAACTAAATTAGACTGAGTTGACAAGAGATAACTAAGTTCTTAACGTTGGCATGCCATTGTCATTAGCCTCTGGATGTTCACGAGCCCTTAGAGATAGACTAGGCTTCTTAAGCTAGAAGGAGCATAGGAGCATGGTTGATACTAAATGACATGTTGCCTACAACACTCTTCATCATGTAAGTTGGTTAACATTATGCATTGAAGATGATAATAATGTGATAGTTTTTCATATTTTTAGACATATGTAATATAAAATTGAATGAATGGCCATAAGAATGAATAACCAATATCTGAATTTTACTTTTCTCTCTAATATTTATTATATTGACTTTTGAAATTTTTTCCTCAATTATATCATTACCAAATAAGTTGTTTTCTGAAGGTTTCTGTGATTTAATGAGTATTTAATATTTTACAGGATTCAGAAACTGTTTTTGATATTGAGAATGACAGAAATAATATACTTCCAAAATCCCAGCCTGAATATGAGCCTGATATTCCTCAATCAGGCCTAGATTATAGTGGTATTCGAGAACTTGAGGATAGAAGGTAAAGAATATATACAAAGTTTTGCTACTATATGTTTCATACCATACTTTATTGCCTTATTTTTAATTGAAATTACTGTTTTCAGATCTCAGCAAAGGTTTCAGTTTAATCTACAAGACTTCAGATGTTGTGCTGTTTTGGGAAGAGGACATTTTGGAAAGGTGATCTTTGGGAATTTTTTGGAATACTTAAAAACTTAACTTATATACGAAGTAATTATTGTAAAAACTTATATACAAAGTAATTATTTTAATCTTATTTCAGGTGCTTTTGGCTGAATATAAACACACAAATGAGATGTTTGCTATAAAAGCCTTAAAGAAAGGAGACATTGTGGCTCGAGACGAAGTAGACAGGTTAGTTTTTAAAAATGAAATTATTTAATTTTTCTTAAGTTGTCAGTTAAGAGGGTTGATGTATATATTGCAACAGCAAAATTTTCTGATTTCATAGTAATATGTGAAGAAACTAATATATATTTGATATAAGGTAGACATTCATCGAATACTTCAAATCAAATACATCAAATTCTTTCTAGCCATTCCGTTTTTCCCCTTCTTATAACAAATAACAGATTAGTGGATACCAAGGAAAGATGGTGAAATGTTTAAACTAATTCTTAAGTTTTTCACAAATAAAATGATGTTAAAGTGATTATAAGGAATAGGATGTTAAAGTGATTATATGGAATAGGAACTCTTACTCATCTATGGTTCAGTTAGGCTGTATCCCATTTCATCTATGGAAATGATACAATGTCATTTACAAAAAATGTGCAATTAACTGAATGGTTAACATATTCTGCTTTTTAAAGTAGAACTTTGTTATTTTCTTCTATTTTTCTTAAAATTATGTTTTTTGACCATAGCATTTAACCTTTCTGGGTCCAAGTTGTGGATGTATCTTTTTATACAATTACTGAAAGGATTTGGGGGATAAAGATTGTAATTAGGTTAGAGAGTATACTTTAAAATGACTGTCTTAATAGAGGATGATTAAAAATATAAAGTATTATATAAAAATGGCATATTTATCACAGAAATAGGCTTTCATTGGATATTTAATAGTGTTTTCCTTGGACCACTGGGAAGCATCTATTGATGTTAATGGAAGATAGCCCTGTTTAATGAAAAGAATCCTGGACTATGAGTGAGAAGACTGACTCTTCTAGTCCTGATTGCTCCTCCTTAGTAATGATTTGACTAAACAATATTTCAGGGAACATCTTTGAGTCCCAATTAACCCATATATTTAAAAATAAGTACTTTTTATAATGCTTGCCTTACTGAGTTGTATTAAGTGAAATACACATATATATGTACACACACATATACAAGGGCTGTCCGGAAAGTATCCAGCAATGTAATATGAAAACTAGTATTAACAATGGCTAGATACTTTCCGGACAATCCTCATATGTGCCAAATCACTAGAGTTTTGTTTTTGATTTTTTGAGACTAGATCTCACTCTGTTGCCTTGGGCTAGAGTGCAGTGGCCTGATCACAGCTCACCGCAACCTCAAACTTCTACATTTAAGCCATTCTCCTGCCTCAGCCTCCTGAGTAACTGGCATGTGGTATCACACCTGGCTAATTTTTTTTGAATTTTTTTTTTTGTAGAAATGGAGTCTCACATTGTTGCTCAGTCTGGTCTCAAATTCCTGGCCTCAAGTGATCCTCCCGCGTTGGCCTCCCAAAGTGCTAGATTGTAGGTGTAAACCACTGTATCTGGCCCCAAATTGCTAGTTTTAATGTTTTTTCCACCATACAAGTAGTTCTTAGAATTAGGACAAGTCTTAGAAGATTGAGATATTTTTTTATATAAAAAAATCTTTTTTTTTGAAATTTGCCTATTTATTTTTCACCTCCTTTTTTGTTTACCATTTCTAAAAGTCCGAAATCACATCAAATTAGTGCTTTCTTGATACCTAAAACTACTCAGAAGATCTTGCTAGATACTTATAAAGTATTTGAATATCATATTACATACATGTTTAGAACTATTTTTTTTAAGCAGATGATTAAAGTAAATCTTTGATCCCACCTTCAGTTTGTTTATACTTGGAATAATAAAAGGATTAAATGTTTTTCTTTCCTGAAAGAATAATTGCTTTATTTCAGATTTGTAAATGGTAAATTCATTTGTTTTCTAAAATGATAGTAAACTGGTTACCACTTCTATTAATTTGGTTTATATAGCTTCCTGCTACATTATTACTTCTCTGAGCTAAGTCTTTGTAGGAGAACACTTTCTAATTAAATCTAGGTAGAATAATATTAATATGGCTATTAAATAGGGAAGTCTAGATCACAGGAAGGAGCCTGGTAGAAAAGTGGATAAGTGATCCATATTTAATTTGAGTTTTAAATCTCTATACTTTTTAGTAACATAGAATTTTAAAAATCTCAAGTAGAATTGGTATAAAAAGAGAAATGGAAAATTCAAGAGTGAAAAATGGAGCTCACTCTTAGAGAAATGTAAAGAAGGTAGGAAAAAGGAATAATTTTACATTTCTAACATATCTGGAGGAAGGCAAGAAAAAATCAATTAAAAAAATAGATACAGCCGGGCGCACTGAGTGGCTCATGCCTATAATCCCAGCACTCTGAGAGGCCCAGGCGGGAGGATTGATTGAGCTCAGTTCAAGACAAGCCTCAGCAAGAATGAGACTCATCTCTTCTTAAAATAGGAAAAATTATTCAGGGGTTGTGGCGTGTGCCTGTAGTCCCAGCTACTTAGGAGGCTGAGGCAGGAGGATCACTTGAGCTCAGGAGTTTGAGATTGCTGTGAGGTAGCTGATGCCATGGCACTCTAGCCCTGACGAGAGAGACTCTGTCTCAAAAAAAAAAAAAAAAAAAAAAAAAAAATAAGAGACCAGCATATTTTATTTTTTTTTTTTTTTTTTTTTTTTGGAGACACAGTCTCACTCTGTTGCCCAGGCTAGAGTGCTGTGGCATCAGCCTAGCTCACAGCAACCTCAAACTCCTGGACTCAAGCGATCTTCCTGCCTCAGCCTCCCAGGTAGCTGGGACTGCAGGCATGTGCCACCATGCCCAGCTAATTTTTTCTATACATTTTTAGTTGGCCAATTAATTTCTTTCTATTTTTAGTAGAGATGGGGTCTCGCTTTTGCTCAGGCTGGTTTCAAACTCCTGACCTTGAGCCATCCTCCCGCCTCAGTCTCCCAGAATGCTAGGAGTACAGGCATGAGCCACCACCATGCCTGGCCGACCAGCATATTTTTAAAAGTAGTATGTCTTTTTTTTTTCCTTTTGAGACAGACTCTTGGTTTATTGCTCAGGCTAGAGTGCAGTGGCATTCCCATAGCTTGCTGCAACCTCAAACTCCTAGGCTTAACAGATCCTCTTACTTCAGCCTCCTGAGTAGCTGGAAACTACGGGCATGTGCCAGCATACCTGGCTAGTTTTTCTATTTTTTATAGGTGTAGGATCCTACTCTGTTGCTTAGGCTGATTTCAAACTCCTGGCCTCAGCCTCCCAAAGTGCTGGTATTACAGGTGTGAGCCACTACATGCAACCAAAAGTAATATATTTTATTACTTACAAGTATGAATAGTAAATAACTCAAACTAATTATAACTAAGGAGAATTATTTATGTTCACTTCCTATCTCATCTTTTAAATAGATCCATGAATTAGATGTTACTGTTCATTAGTAGTTTATTTTTTTAATAGATGTTTCCAGAATACTTGACAGTTCTTTTTTTTGAGACAGAGTCTCACTTTGTTGCCCAGGCTAGAGTGAGTGCTGTGGCATCAGCCTAGCTCACAGCAACCTCAATCTCCTGGACTCAAGCGATCCTGCTGCCTCAGCCTCCCAAGTAGCTGGGACTACAGGCATGCGCCACCATGCCCGGCTAATTTTTTGTATATATATTTTTAGTTGGTCAATTAATTTCTTTTCTATTTTTAGTAGAGATGGGGTCTCGCTCAGGCTGGTTTCGAACTCCTGACCTTGAGCAATCTGCCCATCTCCGCCTCCCAGAGTGCTAGGATTACAGGCGTGAGCCACTGTGCCCAGCCCTTGACAGTTCTTAATGACAGTTTTCTTACATATTCTAAGTTTTCTTTCCATAGTCTAGATTATGTTACTTAGAAATTTGTCCCTTTTTAGAAATCATAGAAAATTTCAAATCAGCCTCTTTTTATATGAACACAAATTATGGATTAAATTCCAAAGTAAAGTAATTCGTGTTCAGAGATCACACTCAGTCTACCTACCTTAGTAAAACACAGAGTTCCATCTCTTCCCGCCACTCGCAAGTAAGGATATTCAATTTGTGTTATTGCAATGCCTCTTCACTCAGTATCCTTTCCTTGCCAGTTTATATTTCAGCATAACAGAATAGGGTTGGAAGTATATTTTGTATTTGTAAAACAAAGCACAGCTAGCCAGCTTATGTAGAGTTCAATTCTAAGACTTTTAGGCTTATTAATGATGTGGTTTTCCTCAAATAATAACTAGATAAGCTTTCAACTTTCTAACAGATCCAGTATTATAACAACCTCTGAAGGAAATACACAAAACATATTAGGATGAAACTAATTACTTAGCCAAGGAAACAAGACATAAATTAATTATATAATAAAAGTGGCTAGATATGTTTGAGTTAAAAATAAGCAGTACAAACAATAGTACTTGATAGAAAGGAGGAAACCATGATGTATTGATGGATTGAGGTACAGAGGGTCTCATAAATGAGATCGGATTTGTGTTCTCTGATAGAAGATATTTGAAAATATGGAGAGAAAAGTGGTGACAATTTAGAGGGAAATATTTTGGACCAATCGAATAAAGTTTAAAGTTTTGAATAAAAATAGATTGTCACATGGACTTTTAAGGACAATACACAATTTCTATAATGTTGGAACAAGAGACTTCTGCTTTTTTGTGTGCTCTAAAATACATAAAGTTAGAATTATTATGCCAATTTAGATCTATAAAGAGCCTTCCTCCTTTGTTGATTTGTCCTAAGACATCTCAGTAGTCCTTGTCATATTGTCAGGCATGAATGACACTGAAAGCATTTCAAAGGGTAATCCAGTCAGTGATTCTCTTTTATACCACTTACATGTTCAACAGAGGTTTAACCTAACATCCATCCAGTTGAGAACTAGCAATTCACCCATAAATATAAACTATAGACAGTGGACAATTAAGAAACCATGTTTGTCATCTACATGAGCCGAACACATCAATTCAGTTTTGTCTTACTTCATCTAGCTATTTTATCTACATTTACACAAAATTTTGATAGGCTTAATAAAGCATATGTTAGAATCTATATTGCCTAAAGCAATTTTTAGTACATTATTTTCCCACAAATTTAAATGGTGACAAAAGTCAAAGCTATTAAGTCTTTTAATCTTCTAGGAATTTATTTATAATAATGCCATAGTTTGTAGCACAATTTAGCAGCTTTGCCAAATTAAAAAAAATATTTGTGTCGATATAAGCCTAAAGCTTAGAAAACAATTGTGGCTTTCTATTTCTGACTTTGTGAAAAATTAATAACAGATTGTATGAAATTGGGATAGGAGCTCATTTAGAATATGACACTCACTATTCAATAGAGTTTAAACACTGTATCATAATAGCTACATATACTGTCAGTATTTAAAAGTGAACAGGTGTTTTAGTTCATAATCCAGTAGACAACTATATTAACGTAGCATTAAAAATTCAAAAATTCTGTGCTCCTCCTATAGAACAGGTGTAACTCTTAAGTGCTTTCCAAATCTATTTAATTTTTTCAAGTCATAAACAGTGTAATCTGGATACCCAAATAAATACTTTATCTTAATTTTTTTTAATTAACTCTTTCTGTAAAGATGCAATGAAATGAAGGAGAATGGGACTAACATCAAGATTTTAGTCTGGTGTTTTAGTTTGGCATAACAAACTGTTGTTTGGAACAATAACAAAAAGCCCCCCAAAACCAAAATCTAAGCACTTTTTAATTTAAAAATTAAATCAAAAGCATTATTAATGCCTTTAGACAAACATCACTGTCAATCTTTCGTGCTAGTCTTAGAAACAAAAAAGAAAAATTGCCTATTTTATATTATAAACATAATCTAATTGTTCATGAAATATATCTATTGATCTTTATTTTGACCAGGCACTAAAAATAAATAAGTTAATTTAAGTTTTCTTTTAATAATACTTGACATAGTTATCTTCTACTTTGAGTTTTAAATCAAGTTGATTTACTAAGTATTTTCAGGGGAAGGAAGAGTGGTTTTTTTGTTTTGTGGTGTTTTGTTTTGCTATTTAGGCAAAATTAATGTTCCAGAGTCAGTAAGTTTGACCACTGTTCTTTGTAGCAACATGTTATAGTTCATAAAGGGAAAAAATCTATGAATGCTATAAATTTTTCTGTGATACTACGAAAAATTATATTCTCAAGGAACTTCCTTGAAGCATGTTATAGAATTCTCCATGTAATCTCTTTATTTTCCAGTTAGTCTTCTAAATTAAAATTTTATGTAGCATATCTATACCTCTCAACTTCAAATTTTATATGATAAAAAATTTAAATATTATAGTTTATCAGTTATAAATACTGTCCTTGAAATTTCCTTAGTCACAAACTTTATATTTTTAAACCTATGCTTGTTGCTAAACTCTGTGCCCAATTCCTCATGAACTTTTATAATTCCCCCTTAATTAAGCCTTTTAAAAAATTAACTGTAACCACTAACCATATGTGTACTTCTCTGATACTGTCAATGTAGACTCTTTCATCTTTATGTCATGTTAATCATATTTTAGTTTTCACTAATACATTTCAGTTAAAGCTACATATATTAACTAGATCAGTTTCTATAGCATATTCAGCAAAACTAAGATACATTTTATGGTTTTAAAGTTATACTCTAAAAATTTGCTTATTTTAGTGTTAGTAATTTGTAAAGAATGTTATTTCCAACTAGAAATTTTTTAAATCTACTTATTCTTCAATGTTTTCTCTTACAGCCTGATGTGTGAAAAAAGAATTTTTGAAACTGTGAATAGTGTAAGGCATCCCTTTTTGGTGAACCTTTTTGCATGTTTCCAAACCAAAGAGCATGTTTGCTTTGTAATGGAATATGCTGCCGGTGGGGACCTAATGATGCACATTCATACTGATGTCTTTTCTGAACCAAGAGCTGTGTGAGTATCTTTAGACATTATCTTAGTTTTTCCATGACTTCTTTGTGGGAAGGAAAAAAGCTCTTTGTAGCTCTTTGTGCATTTTAGATCTTTTTTTTTCCTAATAGAAATAGATCTCTGCAAGAAATTTTAGAACTCCATACTTACCTTTTTGCCAAATACTTTTTGTATTTATTTACTCTTGTGCATGTTGAAAATTTCATGGATTACCCTATATCACACTTGATAATTCAGATACACAATTTAGGCTCATTATAGTAAAATTTCTTTTTTGCTATTAGATTTTCTCCCTAAGGAATGCCATCCAGAACCATAGCTTTAAAGACAAATTATACTTAAAATACAATGTTAATTGAGAAAAAATACAGAAGATTCTGTAACATATTTGTATGAAATATCTGTATTTGTATTTTTCAAGGGTAATTTAAAAGATATATATCAAATATTTGCTTGCTTGTGCTTATAATACCTCTGAAAGAATATAAAAGAAACTGGTGTGTGTATATATATAGTCTCCAGAGAAAAGGGTAGAAAGCAGATTTTTCACTACAAACCCTTTTTGTATTTTTTAATTCAATAGTATATGAAGGTTTTGCTTATTCAAATACACAAAAATAAATAGTAAACATGTGAGATTATATATGCATGTGTATATATTTTACCAATTATGTCATAATTTTACAGCTTTTAAATGGTAAAGCTAGATTTGAAACTAGGAAAGTACTCTTAGTAACTATACCCTGCATGCTTATGTTTACCAAATTTGTATCTCCAGCTCTGACTTCTTCCCTAAACTTTCAAGTATGATAATATTCAGCAGCCAACTTTTCCATTTGTGTGGCCACTAAGTATGTCATTTAGCATCTCAACATGAATTCCCAATTTTTCCCATTTCTTTTCCAGCCTCTCCTACTGCTCCCCCAGGCCTGCTACTTTTCTAGTCTTCCTCATCTTATGAAACAGCAATACCAGTTATTCAAGCCACAACACAGAAAGTCATTCTTGATCCTGTTTTTCCTTACTTTTTAGCATCCGAACTATTAGCAAGTCCACTAAACTCTACTTCCAAAATATATTCCAAATCATTTTAAAAAAAAACCCATAAACCCAATATGAAACCTTTAGTGGATTTACGCTTGAATTTTCATCCTATGTCTATATTCTGATGAAATAGCAACTGACATTTGTGTTTCACTTTCACACCTTTATGTGGATCTCATCATAACCTCTAGAGGTATATAGTTTCATAACCTTCAAGTTTCAGATGAGGAAATAGGGGTTAGTTCAGTGAGTACTGAAGCATTCAAAAAGGAGACAGAAGCCAGAGAGTAGTAGAAAGCTACTAATAATTCATCTCCTGAATATTTAAAAATTAAAGGTAGAGCATTTAGTTTTGTTTTTTTTTTGTTTTTTTTTTGAGAGTCGCTCCTGCTCAGGGTGGTCTCGAACTCCTGACCTTGAGCAATCCTCCCACCTTGGCCTCCCAGAGTGCTAGAATTATAGGTGTGAGCCACCACACCCGGCCTAAAGGTAGAGCATTTAGATTATGCCACCCTTGCGCTAATTGCCATGGGAATTTGTCTGTGGTTTTTTTAATCCTTTTTTTAAAAAAAGTAAAAAATGCAGGTCTCCCTAAAGAACTTCTATTTTTGCTGAGAATACAAATCATATACAAATGAAACAAGCCCAGGAAAAATTCAAGAATAAAGTACTGCATTGTAATACTTCAAATCTAACGTACCTCCCTCTAATCATTGAGGTCCCACTTCAAGTGCCATTTCTTTGAAGTTTATTTTCTGATTGCCCTATCTAAAACACCACAATATCACTAATCAAATCAGATCACTCTATTCTATTTTTTCTTCATATCACTTTTTTTCTATACAGTATCGCCATATTTATTTATTTATTTATATTTGTGTTATTTGTCTCTCCTCACTTAAAAGGGAAGAGCAAAGACAGTGTCTGTCCTGTTTACTGGTGAAAAACCCAGAAGAGTACCTGGCACATACTAGGCAATCAGTGAATTTTTATTGATTGAGACTATGGAATCAAAATAGTTTGATTTCTAGCTTGCTGTTTTCTAGTTGTCTAACTTTAAACAAACAAGTTGCTCTTTCTGAGCATTCTCTGCTTCTGCAAAATATTTATCTTGATCGGGTGCAGTGGCTCATGCCTATAGTCTTAGCACTCTGGGAAGCCAAGGCTGGAGGATTGCTTGAGCTCAGGAGTTTGAGACCAGCCTGAGCCAAGAGTGAGACCCCATCTCTACTGAAATAAATAGAAAAATTAGGATATGTGTCATAGCATGGGCTTGTAGTCCCAGCTACTCAGAAGACTGAGGCAGGAGGATTACAGGAGCCCAGGAGTTTGAGGTTGGAGTGAGCTATGATGATGCCACTGCACTCTAGCCCAGGTAATAGAAGGAGACCCTGTCTCAAAAAAGAAAATTTATCTTAAGGCTTAATTGAAGATTAAATTAGCTGATAAATGAAAATAGCTAATACAATACCTGACATACAGTATAAGCATTTAGTGAAATACATATTTTAGATAGACTACCCAGTTATTTCTTGAGTATAATCGAAGCAGTCTGTTTCTAAAGAACCAAAGAGAAATCAAGATATTTTTATAGGTTTTACAGTATTGTTTTGCTAACAAGGTAAGTTTGCTAAAAAATTATGTTTAAAAATAACTATCTTAAGCAATTTTAGAATCACATTTATTGTATTGAAATTCAGTAACTCCTTTAAATTTCTGATAAGTTTTTCCTTCCTTCCTTCCTTCCTTCCTTCCTTCCTTCCTTCCTTCCTTCCTTCTTCCTCTTCTCCTTCCTCCCTCCCTCCCCCTCCCTTCCTCCCCTCTCCCTCCTCCTTCTCCTTCCTTCCCTCCTTCCTTCCCTCCTTCCCTCTTCCTCCTTCCTTCCTTCCTTCCTTCCTTCCTTCCTTCCTTCCTTCCCCTTCCTTCCTTCCTTCCCTCCTTCCCTCCTTCCTCCTTCCCTCCTTCCTCCTTCCTCTCCCTCCTTCCTTCCTTCTTCCTCCTTCCTCCTACCTTCCTACCTTCTTCCTACTCTTCTCCCTCCCCTCCTCCCCTCCTCTCCCCCCGCCTCGCCTCCCCTCCCTCGCTCCTCCCTCCTTCTCCTCCTTCCTCCCCCTCCTTCTCCTTCCTTCCCTCCTTCCTTCCTTCCTTTTCCTTCCTTCCCTTCCTTCCAGTGTATAATCAAATATTTCTAATTAGTGACATTTTAAAATTCTCCCAAATTATAGTCTCATTTTTATAAAAATAGGTAAACACAAAATATAGCTGTATTTTTTAATGTGAATATAAATGCATTCCAGAAGTTTAGAGGAACATCACTAAAGTGGCAGGAGTTGTTATATCTATGGATGACCATGGAGATAAGTTGAGATGGATGAATGGAATATTGCACTTTAGGGGGGAGGGTATTATGTAAATTTCACAGAGAAAGTATTTATGTTACTTGTATAATTACGAACTAATTGTCATAAGTGTCTTCATATAGACTATTCTATACTGAAGACAGGTTTGCCCTTTTTTTTTGGAGACAGTCTCACTCTGTTGCCCAGGCTAGAGTGTCATGACATCAGCCTAGCTCTCACAGTAACCTCAATCTCTGGGCTCAAGTGAGCCTCCTTGTCTCAGCCTCCTGAGTAGCTGGGACTATAGGTGAGCACTGCCACAGCCAGCTAACTTTTTCTATTTTTAGTAGTTCTGGGCTAATTTTTCTTTTTTCTTTTTTTCTTTTTTTTTCCCAGTAGAGACAGAGTCTTGCTCTTACTGAGGCCGGTCTCAAACTCCTGACCTCAAGCAGTCCTCCTGCCTCAGCCTCCCAGAGTGCTTAGATCACCACACTTGGCTCAAATTTGCATTTTTGACAGTCATCTTTAGCTCTCCCCACTCCCTCATCCTATACAGCTGATGGGACACCACATTTTGTCATGCTGATTTTTCAGTTTCTTTTTTAGTCCAACTCTTAGTCTTTTTGTTGCCACTGCATTGGACGTTCTCATGGTTGTTCATCTGTACTATTATAAAAGCCTTACCTGTTCTTTTTCCCTCTGGATCTCTACCTACTTCTACTCCAGCCTTCACACTATCATAAATGTGATCATTTTCCTCTGGTTAAAATGGTTTGATTCTAAGAGAAAATATTTTTCGGTATCCATAATATGATATGATATTCAAGGTCCTTCACCCAGGCTCTCTTTTCAACCTATCTCCTACTACTTCTTCCCCTGATACACTCATCCTTTACTTTATCCACACCAAACTTGTTAATAGTTATCAAATATGTTGTGCTGTTTACACCTCTATTTCTTTTTCCTCTTAGGGATATATGCCCTATATTTGTCTCATAAATCTTCTACCTGTCATACTGTCCTTCATTTTTATGGCACATTGTATTTCCTCCTACAGAAAAAGATCAAATGTCCCCTCTAAAGTCCTCAGTGATTCCACCAGGCAAAGTTAATGGCTTTCATTGTTGACACTGTACTTTTCTCATTTTTTAATTTATGCCTAATATTTAACATATTGTGTGGTACATAGCAAGGACTAAATAAATATTTGTGAAATTAAGTAACTACAGATTTCTACTTTGAAGTATAAAAATATAAACTAGGATTCAAGAACAGTGAAATTTATTAAACTTCTTTTAATTTAATTCCTCAAACAGATTTTATGCTGCTTGTGTAGTTCTTGGGTTGCAATATTTACATGAACACAAAATTGTTTATAGGTAAGTAATTTTTAATTTTTGAATTAGAATTAAAGATAACTAAGAAAGATATTTTGTGTTTAGCTTCTTAATTTTCTCCTTTATCTGATAAGTGCACTCTAAATAAGTCAAACCCCAATTTTCAAAGACATGTGGTCAGCATAGTAATTACTTGATGAACTTTTTGATACTTAATCCATAGCCCATTCCCTAATTAAAATAGTCAAATTATGAGTTGGCTTATGATAATGCAGTTCTCAATAATATTCATCCTAATGAATGTTTTGCATTCAACTAATCCACTGCAGAAAACCTCTGTGGACCAGTAATAAACTGTCCCCATGATGAGATAAGTAGCTTGTACCAGAGTGTAAAATATCACACTGCTTCCCTCTATAAGAAGCTTTGCTGTCAACTGAACTAAACAGCATATTGGTGCTATAGCCGGTTTATATATTGGTACAAGCTCATTATTAGACTGTAAACAGGATAATTCATGGCTCAGTGCCTAATCCATGGACCATACTGAATAGCACTGCTATTGAATAGCACTGCTCTAACCAGAAAAATTATTATTCAACACTGCCCAAGACTATGAAAGTTATGGGAAGGCCAGTCAGAATTAGGAGACTGTCAAGGTTTTTTCAAACTTCTAATAGTGTTTTCAAGGTAAGGTTCTATTTTACTTAAAGGGTAAAATGTTTTCAACTAGCATAATTTGTAATGAATTAGTATGAATGGATAGTTTTTTTTTTTTAATTTTGAATTACTCTCTTAGAGAGTTAGACCTATCCTCCGATTCCTTATTGGTACTGTTAGCTTGACAGTTCTTTCTTATAAGTGGTGTACAAGCAAGATTTCAGAGTAAGACTTGGAGTAAGTCAGATTATCACAAATAAAAAAATTAATAAACCCTAAGTTAAAGGTGCTTGAACTCCTATGCTTTAACGTATACATTTATAAAGAGATAAAACTTTCCTTTTAACATACATTCTTTTCAGAAACTATATTATGTAAAACAGTAAATTTGCCAAAAAAAGAAAAAAAATGAATGCTTGTGACATAGTACTTTAATCTTAAATCATAACTTGGAAAATCCATTTTTAGTAAAGAGAAAATAAAGCCCCTGTTGAAATGATTTTTTTATCATATTACCTACTGATTTTATTGATTTTTTTTCATATATTTTTTTTAATCCTGAACAGAGATTTGAAATTGGATAATTTACTGCTAGACACAGAGGGCTTTGTGAAAATTGCTGATTTTGGACTTTGCAAAGAAGGTAATTAGATGTTTTAAAGTTCCTTTTCTCATGGATTACTACTTCTTTATACTTGAGTAGTTTTAAAGTTTGTTTATGGAAAACAAAATGTATTTTTAACTTTAATTTATTCTTCATTAAGACATTACAGATTGCTCATATAACCAAATTATCACATTAAGAATTTATTATGGATATGAATAAGGTTAGGTGTCATAGCAGAAGACCAAGATTCTTTGTGTATGATTAATAATTTTATTACTACTTTAGAAAGTATTAAGTACCAAATTGTCTATTCTGGTAGGATTATATACAGTAAATTGCATAGGCCTAATAACTTCTCTCCAGCTACTTAAATATTAACATTTTTAAATAGGAAAAAAATAGGTACAGATATCTCAAGAATGTTTTCTATATAGTCAAAAGTAAATAAATAAGTAAACTGGGGAAATTTGAATCAGAGGTCACATAAGAAAGCATAAAGATCATGGGTTTAGGCAACATATGGTCCTAGATTTGAATCCTGACTTTGCCACTTATTTGCTGTGAGTCTATGGAAAACTTACTTTTAACCTCTTTGAGTATATTTCCTAAACTATAAAGCAGATGTAGATTTTTCTGTTTAGGAGTACTGTTATAGTTAGAAGTAAGTATATAACAACAGTACCAAACATACTATACATTGATATCTTTGCATTCAATAGGTTATAGCATAACTGACATTGTCTGTCTCACTCTTAACACTGGTAGCTTATTGTTTCTTCTTCAGGTTTGTTTCTGTAGCTCATAGCACAGTGCTTGGCATATCTTAAGTATTCAGTATGTGTTTGATTAATAAACAGTTAAATGAATAAACTTTGTAAATATTATGTCCATCACATAGCCACTGACCTAATTACTGAATCCAGTAAATTGTTTCCCTAATTGGGCTTCTCTTTATTGGACACTATTGCTTTAAATGCTTTCCTTTCTAAGAGTCTGTCCTTAGCCTGCTAGTTTTTGACTAGCAGCTATATGCTAATATAAGGAAATATATTATTTCCTTTTCCATGGGTTCCAAACATTTATATTCAACTGTCTACTAGGCAGCTCTACCTGAACAGCCAGTAGACACCTCAAATGCTATACAAACAAAAAACAGCTTCTTATCCTCAGGAATCTGGTTCCTCTCAGTCTCTCAATCTGAAAATGTAGAATTATCTTGGATTCTATCCTATTGTTGACTTTCTGTATCACGTTATTCAAAAAATTCTGTTGATATTTATTTCCTGAATACTTCTTAAATCTGTCATTTCCACTCTACTACTGCCACTCGTCATCTTGTTTTGACAAGATGGCTATATCCTCCTAACCTTTCCTATCTCTGGTCTTTTGACTTCTCTCCCAAATCAGTACGCAGTGTAATTGCTAAATAGCTAATGGGACCCCTCAAAATACAAATGTGACCATGGTACACCCCTGATAAAATGTCTAGGCATATGACATGCACTGTTCACCCTGATCTGCCTGCCTCCCTCTCCAGCCACAACTCTTGCTGCTCTCTGTCTAGTTCTTTGCTCCAGCAACAATGTGCTGCTTATGGTCTGTGCCTCTCCAGTACTATCACCCATCCTAAATCTATTTGCTAACATCTATTCATCCTTCTGATTCAACTCAAATGTTACCTCTCCAGGCAAGTTACCTGAGATTTCCTCTTCTCCTTCCCCAACTCCCAAGTCTGCTTTAGGAGCCCTTCTTCACTATTTCTACATATCTTGCTCTTACCATATTATTATAAAATTATCTTTTTGTCTATATATATAATTGCTTTTTTCCAGGTAGTTGTTAGCTCTTTAAAAAAAAGAATTATCTTATTTTCATCTTTGTGTTCCTACCACTTGGCACAGGTGCCTAGAACATAATAGGTAATTGGAAAATAAGTATTGGATAACCAGACTTTACCAAATGTTTTCCTTCGTTATCATAGAAATATACATAGTAGATTATAATAATAATAGCTAAGAATTTTTGAATGCTTACTGTGTGCTAACAATTTTGCCAAATGCTTCAAATGCATGATCTCCCTCAATTCATAACAATCATACAAAGGTAGATGATGTTGCTAACACTAATACACAGATGAGGAAACTTAGGCTTTGAAGTTAGACAACTTTCCCAAGCTGTCACAGTTAACATGTAGAAGAGCTGAAATTTAAATCAGGTCTTTATTACTCCAGAGCCTGATGTTAACTACTTCCATGGGGTTTTACCAATCTAAGTCCTAGCTATTTGGGCCTACTCTCAACTTCCTTTAAAGATAGCAGGACAAGAAAATTTATCAAAATGAATGAAACATGATAACTATAGTATATTTGGCATGACATGTACATATTACATTAAAATATCACAGATTTTACATTTTATAGTATTACTTTAAGACAAGGCAAAAATTTAGAGGACTTGTGACTTACGTAATATGCTGTAGTGGTAAACAGAACACAGAATAAAAGTCAAGAAACATTAAATCTATTTCTGTCTTTGTTAACTAACTTTGTTCCTATAACTTTGGCCAAGTCACTAAAAGGCAGATGTAGAACTTGTGTAGATATTATATCATTCTTTTTTAAAAATAATGTTTAATTGAAGAAAATAAAAAAACAACATGATAATGTTAAAGAAATTTTGCAAAAAAGAAAAAAATCTCCACCCCAATGTGCTGATGTATCTAATTATGCCCTTCAAGTTTTGGTCCATAGATATACAAATTCATTTATGTTTTGCAGTTATTATATATTCATAGCTTATTAAATTTAGAATTAAGAGCTTTTCTTTCACATTCTTCCACTTTGGAATACATAGAGACATATCATCAATATGCAGAATGCTTATTTGATTAGTGTTTTACTAAATTATGAGAAACATATATTTGAAACCTAGTTAGCTAAAATATTAATTCAAGTTGAATATCCCTTTTCCAAAATGCTTGGGACCAGAAGTGTTTCAGATTTCAGATTGCTTTAGATTTTGGATTATTTGCATATAGATGAGATATCTTGGGGGTGGGACCCAAATCTAAACACAAAATTCATTTATGTTTCATATATACCTTATACACATAGCCTGAAGGTAAATTTACATAATATTTTTAATAATTTTGTACATGGAACAAAGCTTGTGGCAAGTACTTTTGTGTGGAATTTTCCATTTATGGCATCATATCGGTACTCAAAAAGTTTCAGATTTTGGAGCATTTCAGATTTCAGATTTTTGGATTAAAGATGTTCAACCTGTACCATCTCTCTACATTCTATGACATATTTGCTCAACTCCTAATTATCTAATTAAGTGTTCGCTTTTTGGTTTTTCTAAACTGTACTCAATGTTATTTTTATAATGAAGTAAATAAACTTATTTAAAAGATTAGATTAGAAGGATGATAGAAATTAAAGTTCAGAACCAGTTCCTTTTGTTGTACCTTCTTAGCATCCCTTGTAAAGTAATGACAAGACAGAAAAAATAAGTAAAAAGCATGGAAATTTTATTTATTTTTACCAATTAATGGTAAAGTTGCTATTTTGTGGTTTTCTCTGTACCAGTCCTTGCTGTTTCTTTAAAAGTCTTTGATGTGTCTGAGTTTGTTCACCATGCACAAATGCACAACTTTAATTTTACTTCCCAATGATATATCTCTAATTTATTATGCTGGATTATTTTATTTGCTAACAAATGTTTATATTTTATCTTTTTCAGGAATGGGATATGGAGATAGAACAAGCACATTTTGTGGCACTCCTGAATTTCTTGCCCCAGAAGTATTAACAGAAACATCCTATACAAGGGCTGTAGATTGGTGGGGCCTTGGTGTACTTATATATGAAATGCTTGTTGGTGAGGTAAGCAGTATGAAATAGGTGAGAGAGAAGAAAGTAATGATGATTGAAAGAACAAAGCATGTCATTTATAAAACCAGCTAATATGTCTTCTGCATGAGTAGAATTTAAGTTTTATAAATATTTATAGTATACTAATATTTAGCTATACTTCTGTAATACCTTCACTGGTTTTTTAAAGATTTTTATGTGATCTGTGGGATGCATTACCAATACTTTGAAAATAGTTCTTATATTTCAGGATTGTGCTGTGGTTATGTTTTATGATTCTGAGACAGAGGATAACTAAGTTGTACGCAAAAATTCTTACCATTTAGGAAACAGTGCGCTAATAAAACAATAATAATAGGCTAACATATTATAAACTGTTAGGAATGATAAATTGGGGTGGAATTGGAAAAGAGTGAATCCTTTGATAAGTGACTGAAGACTATTTAGTGGGACTTGATCTGGAGATGCAAGAAAAATATTTTTCTGGGATTGGTTCTTTCTACAGTTTCTGCATTGCCAACAACCTTCCTTGTACATTCAAGGCATGAATAAGTTAGCAACTAAATGAATGCATGATCAAATTACTGAATTTCAGAAATTTCTAAAGTTTTGCTGTGTGCTTATCATTTACTGGCACTCACCCCAAACAAACAAATAAATGATTTTGGTTTATCCAGATGGATAGCCCCTTCTGGTATGTCACATTGGAGTGAATTTTCTGGAAAAGGAGGAGAAGAAATGGCTAATTAAAATGAAGTTTACCATATGCTAGGCACTATTCTAGTGCTTTATAAATATTAGCCCATTTAATTTTGAAATTATCCTTAGTAAGCTCAGTACTGGTCTTATGCCCATTTTCAGAGGCATAAATGGACACACAAAAAGATTAATAACTTAAAGTCACACAGCTCTCATGTTGTAGGGCTAAGGTTTTCACCCTGTCACTCTGGCTTCAGAACCTGTCTCTAAAGCATTATGCTGTGCAGCACCAGGACATCCAGCCTTGTTTCTACTCCTGAGACCAGTGGTCCAGGTTTGAATTTTTCACCTCTATTTAGAAAAGCAGTTAAGTGGTATTTAGGATGGAAAGATTTATTTTAGCCCTAATCCACAGTAGTTTTTACTTTCTGAGAGTGCTAGAAGTTCTCACAATAGTTGTTTCTGTAACCTCTGGCATACTTGAACTACTTTCTTCCCCCTTCCTTTTTTTGAGTATCATTTTTGTTGCTTTGTTTTTTCAACATATTATTCAAGTAAGTATGAGATTTAATTATGTGCTTGCTTAAAATTTATTCTCCATATTACAAGTGACATGAAAAAATATGAGTTTATTGTAAGATATTATAGGATTAGTAGCCAGTTGATTCTACTTCTTCCTATTCTATAGCCATTGGAGGATTTTTCAAAGAACAAGTAAGGAAACTCCTGTTTCATATTTTTTAAAAGAGTTTCTAACTGATTGAGCTTTTAATTTCCTAGAGGATAAAAGACAATGGATCTGGCTATCCCTTCACAGTTGCTTCTCGGAATTTCATTTCTCTATAATGCCTCCACAAGAGGATAGTTGGAAAAAGAACTAACCTTGAAACTCAATAATTTTAAAGCATTAGTGAAGCTTTAGAGATAACTGTTTGTTTATTTAATCTATGATGAAAGTGAAGTTTGGCTAAAGTTTATGTCTGTCTTCTCTGGTATTACAAACAATTGAAAACTCATTGGATGTATCATGCATTTTCAAATTTGTATTTGTATACTTCTACTAGTTCTAAGGAGTGGAAAGACTCAAAGAATAATTTAATATACCAGGTCCCCTTTTCTCTGTGCCAGATAAGAGTGCACGTGCTAGAGAAATTTAAAGTAACTGGACACTGATGTTAGATGCTACGAATGTTGACATCTGAACAGACTATTGGATTCTTTTTATGTGTGCTTGAAACACACTTGTTAACCTTCTGTTGTCATCCCTGTTAATTTATAATCTATTACATTTGTAGAAACAAGGTACTTATTTTTTAAAAAATGTAGGTATTTCTCTGCTAATCAGAGACTTACAGAGTGTTAGTTTTCAAGTACAAAATTGTTCAAGCAAAAGACAAAAGCACTCTCTCTATATTATCACTTGAAATTCTGATTGAGAACACTTGTGAAATAGAATTTTCCACTGACTTGCTGTTTCAATCCCAAAAAGAAATTAGATTGTCCCTCGTAGCAGGTATTTGATTTATGTATTTTGAATGAGTGAATGAACAAACTAAGGTTTTGATAACTGAAAAGTTTGAAATTTTCTTAGTTGTGAGCAATAAGATTGGCAGTTCAGTCTTAGGAAGTTGTAGTCTAAATTTATTTTCACAGATTCCTTGGGTTAGAGATCCCTCCCTTTCCACTGATACTGCTTTCTGCTTGTCTTTTATTTTTTAATACCTTGTAGAAAGTAAGCAACCAAATCAAACCTGATGAGGCTAAGTAAGCCTATATCTCCCCAGCAGGCAGTGAGAAAATAGGGTTAGAGATACTGACTCATTTCAGTGATTTTAAGCTATTAAATGATACTCAGACATTTGTTTCCAGAGTTTGAAAATAACTGAGTGAACACTAAGGCATCTTAAATTCTGAGGCAATAAGTCACCTTTGATAGACAAGTGTAGCACAGTTGAGAGTTTATTCCTTTCTACATCAAGTTGTTATACTGAATGTAGTGTTACTACTTTTTAATGACTCAGTGTCATTCTGGTGATTATGCAAAATGATTTTAATACTGTGCTTACCGAAATGCCCTAAGATTTGCACATATACCTGGCAGTGTATGCCTTTTGAGTTCCTTTCAGTCTAATTTTGTTGCCAGCTGCTCCTTAGTACAGTCATTATGCCTACTACTCTCTAATTGTGTTTTACTACCATTAATTTGCTATTGACTTTGAAATCCAAAGCACTTCCCTATCTGATGTATGTCCACAGACTCAGCTTCCCTTTATTGTAACACTTACTGCCATATTTACCATACCCATTTTCTCTTGTCTTTCCACAAGATTGAGCTTCTTAAGGATTTTGTCTGTTATCTAAATATTCCCAGCTATCTAGTAGATACTCTAAATATCGACTGCCTGGCCAGATAGATGAATGAGTGAGTCAATAAAATAAATTGGAGTAGAGTAGAATGAAATGGAATGGAATTAAGTGAAAAATGATATTATATGATATAAACAAGTTTTTTTATAAGGGTCTATAAAATAAATTGAAACAATATTTCAGTAAGAGTATATGGTATATATTCTCTAGGTAATAGATGTACATCCCTTGTGACTTCATATAGTTCTTTTTTATTATTACTGTTTTGGTAGATTTGTTTCTTGTTTTTGTTCTTTTGTTTGTTTTTTTCACTGCCTGGATGTCGGTTTCACTGTGAATGAGTAATACAATTGTACTGTATTAAAACTCACTTTAACTTACTCAAAGATATTTCTTCTAGTCTCCCTTTCCTGGTGATGATGAAGAGGAAGTTTTTGACAGTATTGTAAATGATGAAGTAAGGTATCCAAGGTTCTTATCTACAGAAGCCATTTCCATAATGAGAAGGGTAAGACTTAAAATAAGTGTAAGAACTTTTTATAAAACTACTTGCATTTTTATATTGAAAGTAATTTCCCAGTAGAACTTTAGAAATTTTTTTTCAGTTCTTAGATGTTGCATAGTTTAGACAAAGAAACAAAAAATATCTAAATCTTTGAAAGTTATGAGAATCCTTATCAATGAAGTTTATTTTATTGGTTTTATTGTAACTGTTTTCCTTTAACATTGTGTTAGCTGTTAAGAAGAAATCCTGAGCGGCGCCTTGGAGCTGGTGAGAAAGATGCAGAGGATGTAAAAAAGCACCCATTTTTCCGGGTAAGTATGAATATTTAAAAATTTTTGTGAAACTAGAGCAATGAAGAGCAGGAAACTAAACTGGTCATTTTATATTTTGTGATCCAGCTAATTGACTGGAGTGCTCTGATGGACAAAAAAGTAAAACCACCATTTGTGCCTACCATAAGAGGACGAGAAGATGTTAGTAATTTTGATGATGAATTTACCTCAGAAGCACCTATTCTGACTCCACCCCGAGAACCAAGGATACTTTCAGAAGAGGAGCAAGAAATGTTTAGAGATTTTGACTACATTGCTGATTGGTGTTAAGTTACTAGACACTGTGAAACCAAGCAGACTGACTCACAAGACGACCTCTTAAAAGCAACCTTCCATTTGCTTTCTGTGCCACCAGTAGCTTCTGAGTTGTTTTTTTAAAAACACATGAAGATTTGTTTAAAAGTACCATTCTAATACCTTCTTGAAAAGTGGCTTCTCAATGTATTTTCAACATAAATCTGAGCACTGGAAACAGTTTCATGGAGTTTAAGCTGAATGAACATCGGCCATGAAAATCCATCACAAATAAATACTTTTGGATCAGTAGTCTATTTTAAAAAAAGAAAAAAAAAACACCACTCTTTTATAGTCCCTAGCTTTGCCATATGCCTGCCTTAAGTGGATGGAAAATTAATAACTATGTTTTACAGAAAGAAAAAAAGGGCTTGGAATGCTATTACTATTCACACGAAGTATGATTCTGTTTGAATAAGGCAAATGCTCTTATTTTTTTAAGGAAATTACTATAATATCAAAAAGTGTAGTGGCAGTGCGTGCACATTTTTGAGCTTGATTTTTTTAAAAACAGAATGAATTAATGTCTTGTTTTATAAATTTTCTATATTTATTAGGAGAAAACATTTTATTGCCTTATCTTTACCAGCCATGTACCAGAGCCTCATAACTTTCCAACAGAGCTGCTTGCCAAACAATTCTTCTGTTTATTAAACAATGCTGAAACAAACAGGAACATCAGCATTTACTTAAAATGTTAAGAATGAGGACTTCTGATCAGCCTGAACCAAGATACCTTGTTACCTGTATGCATTCCCAAAGTCTAGACACTCAGTCTGTTCTGTCATATCTTCTTCCATAATCAGTGAACTGATTACCCCACTTTTTTGATATTCATTCTACATTTGTCAACCTAGTTCATCTGTTTTTGTGTCTGCTGTAGAAGGGAACTATAACTTTCTTGAACTATAGGGATTATCATTGTATACATGCTGTGAACATGTATATGTGCAAGTTGTAATGTATTCTATGTTGTAGGCTTATTATTTAACTTCACCACTTCATCACTTTTGTACAGTGGCCAAGCAGACACCTCAAACTCCAGCATTTACATTAAGTGCATTTGTATATTTTAGGCCACTGGATCCAGATTTTATATTGGCAGTTACCGAGGGCAAAAGCAATATATTATAACAGAATGTATAAATATTTTTGATAAAACAGTCTATATTTTATAAAAAAATTATTATAACACTAAAGCTGTACCTCAAAAGTCTCAAAAATAATTTGATCAAAATACTTTTTACAACTCTTCAGAGGATCCATTTGTGGCTTTTTGTACTCTTAATAGGATGTCTTTGTAAACCGTGACTTTCCACTTGCCTATAGCTTTTTGTTTGTCATATTTTTCCCTCATAGTGCACAACTTCATTGGTTTTTTTCTTAGTTTAATAATAACATCTTTGATCCTGTACTTAGCATGTTAGGGTCATTTTACCTCAGGAATAGCAAGCTGTTAACTAACAATTCTGAATAAACCATTTAATCACAGTGAGCTCATCTCTTAAAAATTGTTCAAGTTTAAATCTTATGAAAAACGTGAAAAAGCACACTACTTTATGGAGAGCTGAGCTAAAAACATTTATAAATATTTCAGCCTTGCTGGGATGTGTTGGCATGTTATCATTGTACTCTAAGAATGATTAAAATTATCCAGAGATGATTCATACTACCTTCCAAATTGGTTATTACTCAAGATCCTTTGGGAGAAAATCTTGCAGAAAGAGGGAACAATATGTTGTTCAAAGTTATTTTGAAATGCCACTTAACTTCCTCGGCAAAGGGCAATAGAGGAACTTAATTGTCTGGCTTTAATTTAAACAGTGTTAACACAACATTTAAATAAAACACTAAATACTTTTGAGGTACAGTCCGCTGACCTTTTCTGGTTCTCAAATATGCAAAGAAAGCAACGTCTAAAATATTAGGCTTTTAACATTGAAAACTGACATAGCATTTTGTAACTACACCATGTACAGAAATTTTTTTTAATTGAAGTCAATCACTAAAAAAATTAGAGGGCAGGGTATATTCTCACAATTAAGCTGAAGAAAGCACTAATTTTTTTCTGTAGTTTTTAAAATATATATATTTTAGATTTAAAATTTTAAGCTTTATAGAGTGTACATATATTTTGCTATTACTGTATGTGTATGTGACTGCTCAAGCACTTTGTAAGGAAATTAAGATATTTTAGAATGGTACACTATGCATTTAAATGAAATGTGCCTTTATGTTGTTCTAAGAAAAAAGTGTTTTGCAGTCATACAATTACCACAAATGCACAAATTAAAGTTTAAATAGCTTGAAATTTGTAACTTTGGTTTTCAGTATTATTTCCTTATAGAAACATCCTATTGATTAAACTATGCTTTTGCTTTTCCATGTTCAAAATCTCAAAGAATAATTAACTTAGCCTTCTTGTAAGTACTTTTTGTCCTGGGGAAGGCTAAAACCATGAAAATTCAGAGCAAATCACCCACTTCACTGGAAATAATGGGAAAAGTTTGTATTCTACTCCTGTAAAGTCAGTAGCATCTTTTATTTGGTGAATATTTATGGCATGCTCAGTGTGGCTAGACACTGAGAATAGAAAGATGAGGAAAAAAGCAACAAAGTATTCATAAATGAAGAACAACATGCATTAGTATTAAAATGCAAGCACTAGTATTAAATGTACTTTTAAGAGGCAAATGAATAAAACAGAATTTTAGCCATTTTATAGTCATCTTAGAAAAAAATTACAAATGGAATGTTTTAGAAATATAAAATTATTCATGCTCTCCCTGTAACATAAATGAGGACATAATGGAAATTGTTGTTATATATTGACTTGGTTAAAGCTGCTTTATACATTCAAATCTAACAAAATTTTTGCAGGTACTGCCAATCTTCCCAAAGCAACTGAAGGAATGAATATGAGATACCCAAAGGAGCAAATTCCAATCCATAGATCATAATCTTAATTAAAATTTAGAATTCTTATTTAATTCTTATCTTTTGAGGTGTAGGGTTTCTCGGAAATACTGGCTTTATACCTAAGTATGATGGATAGAGACTTTAAAATTATTAAATAAATTATATATATATATATGTATATATGTATATATATACACACACACACATAAAATTAGAGGTAAGTATTTAAATACCTTCTAAGTATCAAAACTCTTGCTTAATTTTTGCCTCTATTATCATGACTAATTAGAAACTCTAAGACCTCCAATAAGATACATAATTTTGAGGCATTACTGGGCTCATTAAAGATAAAAGTGGCCTCTGGCAACCCTTCACCCCAAAGCAAGCAGACTTGAGCAGGAGTTTGGACAAGTTAGAACTGCAGCACCCAAGATTTAGGGTGGGTATGCCCAAGAACAAAAATATGAATATTCAGAGTTTAGGGCTAGAAGCCGAGTCTACAGAGTATGTCAAAACAGCAGGAAGTTGGAGAGGATTGAAGTCAGAATGGCAGGGAGCTGGTTTGGGAAATGCAGGGACCCAGAAGAAGTGGGGTTGCCAAGGATAGATTCCTGTAGCAACACAAATGTGAGGATGACAAACCTTACAACAGCAGGCCTTATGTTCTGTCCTTAAATCCTCTAGAACTCAAATTCTACTTTGCATGTCACTGTTTTCCTGCCAGTAGAAGTAAATACTGTGTGGAGGAAAGCTCCAGGGTGGGACCATCTAATTTACACAGATTAGGATCAGGCAGTGTCTCACATCTGTAATCCCAGCTACTGGAGAGGCTGAGGCAGGAGGATGGCAGGAACCCAGGAGTTCAAGGCTGCGGTAAGCTATGATCATGCCACTGCACTCTAGCATAGGTGGAAGAGCAAGACCCTGTCTCTATGAAAATAAAAACAAACAAAAATTTAAATCAAGTAATTAATACACTGTCAAGATCCCTAAACACAAGATAGCAAGTTACCTTGAATAAGAGCCAATAATAAATTTAGACATCCCCTCTTAATTAAGATTGCATATATTAGAATTCTCAGATATAAATTATAGAATAGCTATGTATAAAATATTTATATACTTAAAATTACCAGGATAAATATATAAAATGAAAATTCTAAAGAAATTAACCAATATTTGTAAATCAAAAAATGAAAAATACTCAAATATGAAACTAAGGATTAAACAGCAGATTGGAGAATTGAAGAGAATGAGAGAACTAGTAAATATACCTGAAAAATCAACCCCAAATAAATCGAAGGAAAATGGAAAATTTAAAAGGGAGGTTAAGAGATAGGAAAGATGATATAAAGACCCAAGAGGAAGGAATGAAAGCAATATTTAAAGACATAATGACCGAGGAAAAAAGTATATAAAAAATTTAAAATAATTTAAAAAAAGACATAATGACTGCATATTTCCCAGAGATGAAAAATATCCAAGCGGTACAACATTTTATAAACAGAATAAATATAAATTTGTACGTAGAACCATTGCAAAACTGCAGACCACCAAAGACAAAGAATATGTTGAAATCTCCCAGAGAAGGGACTAATTGTCTATATAAATGAAAGACTAACAGCTCACTTCTCAACTGCAACAATGGAAGCAGTGGAATATTATCTTCAGAGTATTGGAAAACAAATGTCAGCCTAGAATTATGTAGAAGATAATTTTTTTAAGAATGAGGGCAAACCAATCAACTATCATCTAATTAGTAGAATAAAAAAAAGAAAAAAAGAATGAGGGCATATAATATTTTTTAAAGGGGAAGACTTAACTATCAAGAGTGCTACTCTAACGGTTTTAAAGAATGTACTTTGAGAATAAGGAAAATGATCCCAGAAGAATGATATAAGATACAAAAAAAATTTGTGGACAAAATGGTAAACACCTAGGCAAATCTAAATAAACCAAATAGAAGGGATTGTTGGGTTTTGTTTTGTTCTGTTCTATATCAGCACAAATTCTGGATAGCAGTAGGAGGAAATTTAGGATAGGGAGGATCAGAGCTAAAGTAGTCTATAGCCTTTTTATTTTTGAGGTGTCATGGTACTGATTAGAGTTAAATGTGCATTAAAAGTGTACAGTACATACAAATTTTAAAACCAAAGAAAAGATAATAGAAACAGATTCATCAAATCACAATAAATGTAAATGGAGCAAACGCACTAGTTAAAAGTGGGATTGATCAGGTCAAATCTTTAAAAGCTGGCTTTATTATATTTGCAAAAAGATAGATCTAAAATAGAAGTATATAGAGAAGTTGAAAGTAAAAATTATGATGCAAAATCCACTGAGGCTAAAGCTGTGATATGTCCACCTAATATCAAACAAAATAGATTTTAGATAAAACACAAAAAAATAAGCATCACCAAGAATAGAGAGGGTTTCCATGTAACAAAGATCCAATTCACCAAAAAGGTAATTTTAAGTATGTATCTAATAAAACAGCTTCTAAATAGGCAAAACTTGGAGCTACTGAAAAAAATAGAAAATACTTGTCATGCAGGTTGAATATGCCTTATCTGAAATGCTTGGGACCAGAAGTGTTTCAGATTTTTTTCAAATTTTGGAATATTGGCATATACATAGATATTTTGGGGATAGGATCCAAGCTTAAACATGAAATTCACTTAGTTTCATATACACTTATACCCTGAAGGTAATTATATATTTTTAAATATTAAAATTGGCGTACACTGAACCATTAGAAAGCAAACGTGTCACCATCTTAGCCACCCATGTTGACAACCTATGGTTGTTTGCCATCATCATCATCCCTCACACAATTTATATGCCACCAGTAAGCAATTATCTTACATTTATTCACATATAAGTACTTAACAGTACAAAATATGTTATCAATACAGTGAAAAACTAATGTGTTCAGGGTAACTAAGCAAGGTGGTAGCATCACAGGAATACCTGCATTAGCTGTTAAACAACAGCAGCAAGGATGGCAAGCTTTCAATCTGCATTTACTATGTAGTATGTTCATTAAAAGGTTACTATACACTGTATTTCATTTGGGGGTTGAGAAGAAACATCAGAAGCGGTCAAGAGACCACATAGCCAATTCTCTAGGGATGAGGAGGCATTCTGCTGAATGGCTTTTTAAAGTGTTTCCTCCAGAGTCATCTGCCTCATTAACAACAATTTTGGTCTTAGAAGGGCCTCTGATTTTATAAACTGACATGATTTCTTGTTTGTTATAAATGCACACTGCTTTCTAGTCCTTCAATAAGCCCATCACATAATTTTATCACTATTATCACAATCACCTTGATTCAGAACCATTTTGGCTATTTCACCATTGGTAAATAAGTGAACAACTGGAGCCTTGTTATTGATGTTTAAAAAACTTCAATATTTATTTCTTCCAGCTTACAGACTGTGAAGGTGTACTTTTTGCATATGTAGGGAGGGCTTTTTTTCTCACTTGACATACAGACTCTTTCAAAGTCACCACCTTATCAACACTGAACATAGTCATAAGCCAGAGGCTGTGCCAGGCATGCACAACTGTGTCTTTGATCACTGTTGCAAGTAATAGCAGCAGCAGCAAATATAGTATCCTTCATGCTAAAGTTCTTTTGAAAACCTTCCACACCCTTGACTGCATACACTACTGCTAGCATGCTGTTCAAGAAAGTGTTTTAGGCCGGGCGTGGTGGCTCAAGCCTGTAATCCTAGCTCTCTGGGAGGCCGAGGCGGGCGGATTGCTCGAGGTCAGGAGTTCGAAACCAGCCTGAGCAAGAGCGAGACCCCGTCTCTACTATAAATAGAAAGAAATTAATTGGCCAACTAATATATATATATAAAATTAGCCGGGCGTGGTGGCGCATGCCTGTAGTCCCAGCTACTCGGGAGGCTGAGGCAGCAGGATTGCTTGAGCCCAGGAGTTTGAGGTTGCTGTGAGCTAGGCTGACGCCACGGCACTCACTCTAGCCTGTGCAACAAAGCGAGACTCTGTCTCAAAGAAAGTGTTTTAATATTTGTTCTTCATTGATCTAAGGATTCTCTTATCACATGGCTGAATTAATGAAGTCACATTTGGGGGAAAGTACATGGCATAAACATTTTCTATGAGAATTTCAGCTGAAGCATGAGCAGAACAGTTGCCAAGGAATAACAGGATCTTGTGGTCACCATCCAGTCTAGCTTCCTGCAGTGAACACAAACCACCTGGTACAAAATGTTTGTGAAACCAATCAGAAAAGATGTCCCTGGTGATCCATACCTTTTTGTTAGCATGATAATTATGGTCTGGGAAGAAATTCATTCCTTGAAAACAGGAAGTTTACACTTAATGTGTTGCACTGCACATCCTAGCAGTTATTTTATCCTTGGCATCCTTAATTCCTGCAGGGGTTGTCTCTCAACAGCTGTAGTCATTGTCTTTCTGGGGGCAATAACACCAAAATATGTTTCATCAGCATTATAGACTTGTTTTAACATTAGATTTT